GTGTGGCCCTGAATTAGTTCATGAGCACCATAGGCATTCAGGTGCCCTCAGTGGCCAGAGGTGTCAGATCCCCTGCAGCTGGAGTTACAGATGTTCAGATGGTAGTGCTTATCATCCATCTCTCCAGCCCCCTCAGTTTAGGCAATTCTGTTTTTTTTGGTTTTTTTATTGTTGTTGTTGTTGTTGTTTGTTTGTTGTTTTTCGAGGCAGGGTTTCTCTGCGGTTTTGGAGCCTGTCCTGGAACTAGCTCTTGTAGACCAGGCTGGCCTCGAACTCAGAGAGATTGCCTGCCTCTGCCTCCCGAGTGCTGGGATTAAAGGCCTGCGCCACCTCCACCTGGCGGCAATTTTGGTTTTATTTTTTTATTTACTTTTGAGACAGGGTTTCACTATACGGCTCTGACTGACCTAGAACTTGCTGTACAAACCTGGCTGTTCTCAAACTCACATACAGAGTTCTGTCTTCCTCTGACTCCCAAGTGTTAGTATTAAAGGTACAGCCGGGCGGTGGTGGCACACGCCTTTAATCCCAGCACTTGGGAGGCAGAGGCAGGTGGATCTCTGTGAGTTCGAGACCAACCTGGTCTACAAGAGCTAGTTCAGGACAAGCTCCAAAACCGCAGAGAAACCCTGTCTCGAAAACCCAAAAAAAATAAAATAAAATAAAGGTGTGTGCTACCGCTCCCATCCAAAAGTAGATATTCTCTACATTTTGTTTACTTAAGTGTTTAATTTTTATATGTTTTGCCTGTTCTATCTTATACTACGTCCGTGCAGTGTCCTTGGAATCCATAAGAGGGTGTTGGGTCTCCTGGGACTGGTGTTCCAGATGATAGTAAGCCACCTTGTGAGTGATGGGAACTGAACCCAGGACCTCTTGAATTGGCAGTTCGTGCTCTGAACCATTGAGCCATAGCTCTAGTCCCTGGCCCAAGAATTTTAGAAAACCTTTTTTGTTGTTGTTCTGTTTATTTTTTTTTACAGAGGGTTTCTCTGTGTAGCTCTGACTGTCCTGGAACTCCCTTTGTAGACCAGGGTGGCTTTGAACTCACAAAAATCCTCCTGCCTCTGCCTATGGAGTGCTGGGATTAAAGTTGTATGACACCATCTCCCACTCAGAAAACCTTTTTAACTCTTTGTTTAAAAATTTTTAGGTGGTGGCGCACTCCTTTAATCCCAGTACTCGGGAGGCAGAGGCAGGCGGATCTCTGTGAGTTTGAGACCAGCCTGGTCTACAAGAGCTAGTTCCAGGACAGGCTCTAAAGCTACAGAGAAACCCTGTCTCGAAAAACCAAAAAAAAAAAAAAAAATTTTTTTAGTTTAAACGAGGTCCATGCCTTTAAACCCAGCATTCAAGATCAAGAGTCTTACGTGGGATCTCTAACTTTGGGTCAGCCTATTTAGCTGGGTAACTGTTTGCTTTCTATAGTTTCTACTCTTTAAATTGGGGACAGTTTCTTAAACTATTTCTTTTTCGTTTAGGTTAGGAGAAACATTAAGAATTAACATAGAGGAAGTAGGAGAAATGGCTCAGTCATTAAGAGCACTAGCTGCTCTTCCAGAGGACCCAGGTTCAATTCTCAGCCCCTACATGGTAGCTAACAACTGTCTGTAACATCGGCTCCAGGGGATCTGATGCTGTCATGCAGATATACATGCAGGCAAAACACCAATGCATATGAAATAAAAAGAAATAAATTGGCTGAGCAGTGGTAGCAGACGCCTTTAATCCCAGCACTTGGGAGGCAGAGGCAGGTGGATCTCAATGAGTGTAAGGTCAGCCTGGTCTACAAAGGGAGTTCCAGGACAGCCAAGCATACACAGAGAAACCCTATCTAAAAAACAAAACAAAACAAAAAACCCAAAAACAAATAAAAAAAGAATCAGCTAATCCCAGCACTTGAGAGGTAGAGGCAGGCAGACTTCTGTGAATTCGAGGCCAGCGTGCTCTATAGAGTGAGTTCCAGGACATCCCAAGGCAACACAGACAAACCCTGTCTCAATAAACCAAAGAAGAAGAAGAGGAAGAAGAAAAAAAAGAATTAGCATGTGACACAGTGTGTGTTCTCTGTGCTCTCCCTATTTTCCTCCATCTCCCTCCCGTTATCTTCCTTCCCATGTTCTCCCTATCTTCCTCTGTCCCACCCGCTCTGTACTCTCCCCATCTTCTAGTCCCACCCCCTCTCTGTGCTCTCCCTTTCTTCCTCCATCCCAGCCCCCACATTGAATTTAAGGCTTCAAGCATGCCAGGCAAGTGCTCTACCATTGAGCTATATTTTCATCCTTGTACTGCAAAATACTTAGGTGAAATATTTCAGCAAATAGCCTGTTTCTAGCATTCAGTACAAGAAATTTAACCATCAACACAGTGAGAGTCCTCCTCTTCTTCTGTAGTATATCATATTAGGCTTGTCATTTTCCACCTCCTCGGGTGTGGTGTTAAGATCTATAACAAGAAGGTGATACTGGCTCAGTTTAGTTCACGGGATTGTTCTGTGAATTAAATGGGTGGTTGCTATAAAAACTCTTTGAAGATCTCAAGCAGCTGAATAAAAATCAAAAAGGATTCTGCTAAAGGAGTTGTGTTAGTTAGGAACTTGTACTTTTCTGGGTAGATTTCAAGTATGTAAAGGAGTGGAATTGCATTTTTCAGTATCTGTCTTCAAAGAAGAAAGGTAAACATATTAAAATTTTCAATATCCTTCAGCATATTCACTCACCAAAAATTTATTGATAGTAGGATCGATCTGAGTTTGATCCCTGGAACCTATATAAAAATGCCAAATGTCACCTTTAATTGCAACACCGTAGAGGCAGAGATGTATCGAGCCTTTCTCTGTCCTACCAGCCAGCTCCCAAATAACAACATGGAGACTTATTAATTGTGAAAGCTTGTCCTTAGTTTAGGTTTGTTTTTAACTAGCTCTCATAACTTAAGTTAGCCCATTTCTAATTATCTATGTTCTTTCTCAATATTTTGTTACTTACTGCCCATCCTACCCATCCTACTTTCTCCGTGTCTCCTTATGTCTCTCACATGCCTAGATTCCTCCTTTCTCTCTGCCCAGAAGACCCATTTATACCTCCTGCCTATATATTGGCTGTTCATCTTTTTATTACATCAATCACAGCAATATACTTTTACACAGTGTACAAATATCCCACAACACAGAAGTAGGTGGATCTCTGTGAGTTTGAAGCAAGCCTGGTTTATAGAATGAGTTCTAGGACAGCCAGGACTACACAGTGAAACCCTATCTCAAAATAAGTAAGGCGGAAAAAAAAAGCCAGGCATCATTCCTGAACAGGACAGGGAGAGATGAAGATTGATAGCTTGCTGGCTATCAGTCTAGCCTAATTGGCGAACTCTAGGCCAGTGAGAGACTGTCTCAGAGGAGGTGGAGAGTATTCCTGAGAACGACACTGAAAATTGTCCTGTACCCTCCGTGTGCATCTATACACACACAGCACATACGTGTAAACAAACAAATCCCTACAACCTTCCTAAGGAGTGGCTAGATGTCAAGTGCCACTCTGGGATATACCAGTGAACAAGGTGTGTAAAGGTCATGCCTTGAAATCAGCTAGAGAAGCACCTTTATTTTCTAGTTGGTGTCAGGACTGGTTTTAGAAGCACATTCATATCTTACTGTGTTTGCTCAATTTTTTTTCCTGAATTAAAAAAAATTCTTTGAGCCAGGCAGTGGTGGTGTATGCCTTTAATCCCAGCAATCAAAAGGCAGGGGGAAGTAGATCTATGTGAAATTGAGGCCAGAAGAGAGCGAGTTTCAGGACAGGCTCCAAAGCTGAGAAACCCAGTCTTGAAAAACCAAAGGGGGGGGGGGGACCTTCTTTGAAAGAATTATCTTTTTATTTATTTATTTGAGAAAGGGTCTCTCTGTGGAGCCTGGCATGCAACTCACTCTGTAGACCAGTCTGTCCTCAAACTCACAGAGCGAGCCTGTCTCTGCCTCCTGAGTAGTGGGATTGAAGGCATGTGCCTTAGTATGTGTATTTGTGTATTTATATATCTGTGCAGATGAGTGTAGTTTCCTAAAGATGCTGGAGGGGTCCAGCTGCCCTGGAGCTTGAGGTACTGATAGTTTTGAACTGTTCAGCATGGGTGCAGACTGACGTGGGAACCCAACTCATGTCATCTGCAGGAATAGTATACACTTTTAACCACTTAGCCATTTTGCTAGCCCACCTTCCCCCACCGATATTGAGGTTGCTCAATGTTAGCCCAGGATAGCCTTGAACTCACTCTGTAGTTGAGGCTGTGCTTGCACTCTGTCAATCCTATCTCAGCCTCCTGGATAATAGGATCACAAGTGTGAGCCCCAACACCCAGTGGTAATGGTTAGTTTTGGTGACGTTGGGGCTGAACTCAGGCTTTATATACCTGAGTATGTGCTCTACCACTAAGCTATATTATGTGCTTCTCATTTAAACAGTATTCACAAGGCAGTATTTCAGTTAAGGTCAATGACATGCCTGCTGAAGATTAAGAGGTGTGTTTTTCTACAAATTCATTAGACATTTTGGTATCCAAGAATGCTGGCATTTGAAGTTGAATTTTTCTTTTTTTTTTTGATTTTTCGAGACAGGGTTTCTCCGTAGCTTTTGGTTCCTGTCCTGGAACTAGCTCTTGTAGACCAGGCTGGCCTTGAACTCACAGAGATCCGCCTGCCTCTGCCTCCTGAGTGCTGGGATTAAAGGCGTGCGCCACCACCGCCCGGCTTCTTTTTTTTTTTTTTTTTTAAGACAGGATTTCTCTGTGTAACAGTTCTGGCTGTCCCAGAACTCACTTTGTAGACCAAGTCTATCCTCCTGCCTCTGCCTCCTGAGTGCTGGGATTTGCCTGGCTATTTTCCATGTTTTAACCTTTCTGAACTGACACAGTTCTTTTACCTGTCAAGGTTTTAAACTTGTATCCCTTCCTTTGGTTTGTGTCAGGGTAAGCCATTGATGTAAAAGACTTCGTAATCTCCGACTGCCCTAATGCTGTCATCTGGAGTAGAGACTCAGCCAATTCTACTTGATTCCTCCATGCCTGCTGTGGTACAGGAATTATACTCTGAACTCTCAGTAAGTGTCTCCAAAGAGCTTCATGCTGAGAAGCAGCCAAGTATGATCCCCGATGTAAAACCTGGAGCCTCATGCGCTCATGTAAGTCAGAGTAGGGCATCACCCCTGGAGCTACAGAGGACTCATGCAGAAGGCTGTTGTGAAGAAACCTTTGAGACCTTGGATTATGGGGGCAAGACTGGGTGGTGCGGACTAGTGGACCCTACAGCAAGAGGGCCTATGGCTTTTGAGATCTTGGATAGGGAAGAGAGAACCAAGAGCATGGAGCCAAAGGTCTTCAGAGAGCAAGGAGACCAGGCCGAAGTTTTCAGAGACCCCTGTGAGGGAACAAAGGAAGAGCCATGCCAACATTCCACAGCTTCTAAAGGAAAGGTCTGCCCCAGTCAGGTAAGAATGAGTCTTGATGCAGAGAGGTTGAGTGTGGGTGACAACACTGCAGAGCGGTGCTGCTCATGATAAGTTACAGGTGCTGACAGGAAGCCTTCGACCTAGCCTCGAAGCAGTTTAAAAAAATAGGGATTTTTTTTGTTGTTGTTTTTTGTTGTTGTTGTTTGTTTGTTTTTTGAGACAGGGTTTTTCTGCCCAGTCACTACCGCCCAGCGATTTTTGGTATTTTTTTTGATGTAAGTCACTGCTGTGCTCTCACTACTCTCACTATTGTAGGAATTATTGAATCTCTAAAAAAGTGCATTTCTTTTTTTAAAATTTATTAATTTTGTTTTATGTGCATTGGTGTTTTTCGTGCATGTATGTCTATGTGAGGGTGTCAGATCTTGGAGTTACAGACAGTTGTTAGCTGCCTTGTGGGTGCTAAAAGACCAAATAAACGTTGCCCAGCTGTGGTGGCACATGCCTATTATCCCAGGAGGCTCTGTGAGTTCAAAGCTAGTCCATTTTACATAGTGAGTTCCATGATACCGAATGTCACAAAGTGAGATCCTGTCTCAAAAATAAACCAAACAGAAAGACCATTGCAAAAAAAATAAGGTGGAGATAGAAGATACCTGACATAAACCTCTAGCTTCTATATATGCAGGCATGGGTAAGCACACATACATGTACACACACTACACTAACACAACACACGCACAGACACAGAAAGATTTTAATATTTGGGACATTGTGATACGAGGATTGTCCCGAGTTGGAAACTAGTCTGGATTACACAGTGAGTTTAAGGTCAGGCTGGGCACAGGAAAAAGAGAGGAGTAAGTTGTATAGTAAGTAAGTTGTAGGTGGAAAAAGAAAGAGGAGTAAGTTATATAGTAAGTAAGTTGTAGGTGGGAAAAGAAAGAGGAGTAAGTTGTATAGTAAGTAAGTTGTAGGTGGGAAAAGAAAGAGGAGTAAGTTGTATAGTAAATAAGCTGTAGGTGGGAAAAGAAAGAGGAGTAAGTTGTATAGTAAGTAAGCTGTAGGTGGAAAAAGAAAGAGGAGTAAGTTGTATAGTAAGTAAGCTGTAGGTGGAAAAAGAAAGAGGAGTAAGTTGTATAGTAAGTAAGCTGTAGGTGGAAAAAGAAAGAGGAGTAAGTTGTATAGTAAGTAAGTTGTAGGTGGGAAAAGAAAGAGGAGTAAGTTGTATAGTAAGTAAGCTGTAGGTGGGAGTTTCTGTCCTGCCTAGTCGCAGAGCTGTTGAACCTTACGTTAATTATAAACTGTTTAGCCTGTTAGCTCAGGATTATTATTAACTAGCTCTTATAACTTAAATTATTCTTGTCTATGTTTAGCCATGTGGTTTGGTACCTTTTCTCAGTGAGGCATTCTCATTTTGCTTCCTCTGTGTCTGAGTGGTGATCGCCCCTCTGCCTTTTCTCTTTCCAGAATACTAGTCTGGTCGCCCTGCCTACACTTCCGGTCTGGCTATTGGCCAATCAGTGTGATATTAAACTAATAAGAGTGACAAATCTTTCCAGTGTACGAGGGCATTATCCCACAGCAGTGCCTTTGAGTCCAGCACTCTCGAGGTGGAGGATGGAGGATCAGAAATTCAAACTCATTGAGATTCGCCTGCCTCTGTCTCAGCCTCTCAAGTGCCGAGATTAAAGGTGTTCACCACGCCATCACTGCCTAGCTGTTTTTGTTTTTGTTTTTGTTTTTGAGACAAGGTTTCTCTGTATCCCTGACTGTCCTGGAACTCAACTCTGGAGTCCAGACTGTCCTCAAATTCAGAGATCTGTCTGCCTCTGCCTCCTCAGTGCCGAACCAGTTCTTTTTTTAATTTTAGCTTGTTTGGTTTTGTTTTTGTGACAAGGTCTTAATTCTGTAGCTCAGCCTGCCCTTTAAATACAAGATAATCCTCCTGCCTCAACTTCCTGAGTATCAGGACTAGAAGAGTACAGTACCATGCCTGTACTTTTCTTCTTATGTAATTGTAGTTCTAGGGGGCTCATGTGCTATCTTCTGGACTCTTTGGGTACCAGACATGGCATACATATACTGACACATACACTTAAACTTTTGAGCTAGAGTCTTACTATGTAGTCTTGCCTAAATGGCTTTGAAATAATACTTAGCTGAAGTTGTAGATACTTGCAGATTAATTCATTTGGGGGAAGTAGAATTCTCATGTCATTCAGTACATTGGAATGGTCCGTGTTATTGATTTAAATATCCCTTGTCTTAGTTTACTACTGCAATGAAGAGACACCATGATTAAGGCAATTTTATTTTTTTAAAATGTTTTTTTGTTTGTTTCTTTGTTTTTGAGACAGAGTTTCTCTGTAGCTTTGGAGCCTGTCCTGGAACTAGCTCTTGTAGACCAGGCTGGCCTTGAACTCACAGAGATCCGCCTGCCTCTGCCTCCTGAGTGCTGAGATTAAAGGCGTGCTCCACTACCACTCAGCAATCCAGGCAACTTTAAAAGAAAGTGTTTAGTTGGGGTCTTGGTTACAGTTTCATAGGGTTGAGTCTGTGGGCATTTTGGCAGGTAGCATGGCAGCAGCCAGGCAGGCAGGCCTAGTGCTGGAGCAGTAGCTGAGAGCTTATATCTGATCCACAAGCAAGGGGCAGAGGGATAACTGGGAATTATGTGGGCTTTTGAAACCTCAAAACCTATCCCTTAGTGGCACACCTCCTCCACAAGGCCACACCTACCTCGTAATCCTTCCCAAATTTCTGCCAATTAAGGAACAAGCTTTTGCTGGGGGCCAGTCTCATTCAAATCACCACACTGTTCATATATTTAATCAATTTCTGTACTTCTGTATGTCCCAGCTTCTTGGTTTGTCTCTTTGTTTAGGCAAATTCCTTTTTGTAGCCCAGGCTGGTCCTTTAACTCCTCATGTAGCCAAGGTTGACTGTGTCCATCATTCCAAAAGAGATACTTCAAGAAAACAGACTTAACAGTTTCAGGCTGGAGGTTCAGTTCAATGGCTGAGCCCTTGACTGGCTAGCATGCAGGAGGTGCCGTTGCATCCCCTAGTGTTGCAAAATCAAACACAAAACACCTGCAGTTTGAGCAGGTCACTTAGTATTATTAGCTTAATGGTCTCAGTGAAAGAGCATGTAGCCCTCCTGGGTTTGGTCTTCAGCACAACAATAAACAAAACATAGAATTGGGATGTATAGAACTGCTGCTAAGAGCTGGGCAGTGATGGCTCACACCTTTGATCCCAGCACGTGGGAAGCAGAGGCAGGCAGATCTCAGTGAGTTTGAGGCCAGCCTGGTCTACAGAGTGAGTTCCATGGCAGCCAAGGCTGATACACAGAGAAACCCTGTCTTGAAAAAAAGAAGTATTGCTGCCAAGAAAAGACACTTCATCGAATCCTCTGATTGACAGAACTGTCTTATCTGGATCAAGAAGAATTATGCTCTGTTTTGCTGGTCAGGCTACACTAGGGTTGCACACTTCCCTCCATGTCATGTGCACTAATGCTCTCATGGACAAGAATTCACGTGGGTGGCAGAACCTGAAAGCATACTGTTGGAAGCTAGGTTGTTGTGTGTATGACTCAAGAAACTTATATAAGAAAAGTCAGGATTATTTTGGTTTTATTCTTGTTTTTTTTTTCCCCTAAATCTCTTAGGAGATTTGAGAAGAGCCTTCAAGCATTTGGATGGCTATCCAACAGAAGCGAACCTGCTGGGCACAGTCAGACTCATTGGGCAGCATGGGGTAGCTAGTAGTTGCTAAGCATTCTCAGGTCATGGCAGTCTGAACACTGCAGCCCTTTGAGACAAAGAAACATGCTGTTTACACAGCATTCAGGCTTATGGAACCAGACATCCTCAAAGTAATAACCCTTTTTAAAGATAATTTGGTCAATCTTATTTTATGTGCATTGGTGTGAAGGTATCATATCAGATCCCCTGAAACTGGAGTTGCTGACAGGTACGAGCTGCCATGTGGGTGCTGGGAATTGAACCCCTGTCTTCTCAAAGAGCAGCTTTAACGCTTAACCACTAAGCCATCTCTCTAGCCCCTGTAATAACCCTTAATAAACTGGCAGACTAGCACATAGTTGAGAGCTGTAGCCAGGCTTGGTGGTAGTCTCATTATTTGAGAGGATGAGGGAGGAAAATTGCTATCTGTTAAAGAACAGCCTGGACTACATAGTGAATAGCATGTCAGAGAGAGCTAGATAGTAAGACCCTAACTTGAAAAAAGCAAAAACAAACAAACCAGATAAATTAAGAGAACATACTTTCAATATATAATTTATAAATACCTTGCCTTGTACAAAGAGGATTCTTTGTTTTGTTTTTTGAGACAGGGTCTCTATGTAGTACTGGGTATTCTGGAGCTTGCTCTGTAGACCAGGCATGGCCTTGAACTCACAGAGATCATTCTGCCCCTGCCTCCCAAGTGCTGGGATTAAAGGTGAGAGCCACCATACATAGAGAATTTTTGGACTAAATTAAAAACAAAACACAGCCTGTCAGTGGTGGTTCACATCTTTAATCCCAGCACTCTGGAGGCAGAAGCATGTGGATCTCTGTGTGTTTGAGACCAGCCTGGTCTACGAGACCTAGTTCAGGACAGCTATGATGGTTACACAGAAAAACCCTGTCTCAAAAAAGAAACAACCCAACTGGGACTTGTAGTGCATATCTTTAATTCTAGCATTCCTCTCAAAAGTTAACAATTTATTTTTATTTATTTATTTATTTATTTATTTATTTATTTATTTTCTTGGTTTTTCGAGACAGGGTTTTTCTGTGGCTTTGGAGCCTTTCCTAGAACTAGCTCTTGTAGACCAGGCTGGCCTCGAACTCACAGAGATCCGCCTGCCTCTGCCTCCCGAGTGCTGGGATTAAAGGCATGCGCCACCACCGCCCAGCAAAAGTTAACAATTTAAATACTTCAGTAGCCAGATAAATCTTTGAATCCTTTAGATGGTACATACATCACCCTGAGTTCAGTTTCCCAGGCATGATGATCCATGTCTGTAATCCCAACATTATAGAGGGAGAGGAATAATGATCCAGGAGCTCAAGAGGAGCTTCAGGTACACAGCAAAACCAGGCCAGCCTGGGCTAGATGACACCTGGTGTCAGAAGAAACATGAGAACGTAAATTAGAAACACTTGAGTGTAAACTAATAAAAAATAATTCTTTGTTGCTTTAGAGTTGTGTCAGAAGGTATAAAATTTTGGACTAGTAATTTTGTTTCTTTGTTGAGGAATACTTCATTATTGGAAAAGAATTTTTTTAAAAATTATTGTTTTGAGGCTGGGCGGTGGTGGCGCACACCTTTAATCCCAGCACTCGGGAGGCAGAGGCAGGCGGATCTCTGTGAGTTCGAGACCAGCCTGGTCTACAGAGCTAGTTCCAGGACAGGCTCCAAAGCCACAGAGAAACCCTGTCTCGAAAAACCAAAAAAAAAAAAAAATATTGTTTTGAGATTATAATCTAACTACATGTTTTCCTTCCCTTTCCTACCTCTTCATTCTCTATATACCCTCTCTTCTCTCCTGAACGCATCAGAACGTATCAGATGGGGAGATGTGACTCAGATAATCTGGCCCAGCCTCTCAAAGGCCATTGGCTGAAGGAGGTTCCCCATCACTCTCCTTCAAATTTATGATGCTTACTTTTTACATTAAGTGTTTGCATGCATATATGTAAATACATTTATGTTCCTAAATATAGCCTGCTAAGTCTGTATAATGTTACTTGTATGTGTGTTTTCAGGGCTGACACTGGACAACCGGTTGGTGTGCTCTTCCTTGAGGAAGACCATCTTTCCTGCTCCGAGCTTTTGTCAGTTGCCTTGTCTTTGTGCAGTAGATGAGGGAAAGTCCATGAGGCCTAAATAAGCCATTACACAGATTTTTTTTTTAAATTTATGTGTATGAATATTTTGCCTGTGTGTATGTATGTACACGATGTGTCTGCCGGGTACCTGTGGAGGGCAGAAGAGGGGTTCACATCCTGAAACTGGAGTTACTGATAGTTGTGAGCCACCATTTGGGTGCTGGGAGCCGAACCCAGGTCCTCTGCAAGAGCAACAAATGCTCTTGACCACTGAACTATCTGTCCAGTACCATGATCTTTCTTTTTCTTTTCTTTCTTGTAATTTTTGCTTTATTTATTCATTTATTTGGAGTTTTTTGAGGTATGGTTTCTCTGTGTAACCTTGCCTGTCCTGGAACTCTCTACAGACCAGACTGACCTCAATGCAAAGGTTTGCCTGTCTCTACCTCACAAGTGCTGGTATTAGAGACATGTGCCCCACTGCCCAGCATATAAAAGGATTTCTTGTTGGAAATAAAATTTCAGTGACTTAAAAGTGGAAACTCTGGGCAGCGGAGAGATATCTCCATCCATAAATGCTTGCTTGTTATGTAAGCATGAGGACCTGAGTTTGATCCCTAACACTCATAAGAAGCCAAAGCTTATGGCACACTTGTAATCTGGAGGGTTTCTGGGGCTCTCACTGACCAGCCTAACCGATCCTTATCACTGAGAGACTGCCTCAAAAAAGGTGAGGGCTGGTTGAGATTACTCTGAAGGTAAAGTGTTTAATGTACAAGCCAGAACCCATAGAAAGATGGGAGAGAACCAACTCCACAAAATTGTCCTCAGACCTTCAGGTGTGCACAGAGGCACATGCCCTCCCTCCCATCACACACACAGTAATAATAAAGGAAAGGAAGAAATTTGAGGTAGATGGCTTGTGAGGAACACCATCAGAGACCAACATCTGGCCTCCACCTGTACGCATGCAAACCCATGGGTGCGTGCATACACAATGGAGAAATGTTTTTATAAGGTAGAAGCAGAATTGATGTTGATAGGCTGTTCTTGGGTCTGCAGGGCTCTGTTGGCCCTAGTTTGCTGTAGCTCTGATCTCATGCAGCAGAGCAGTATGTAAAGCATGTTGCCGAGGTGTGAACGCTTTCTGTGACTTCACAATCGGTGCCTCACTTAAAGCTGCAGTTTTTCTGAATTGAGATACAGAGGAAAACTTCTGTAAAAGTTCCTCTCTCCCTATAAAGGTGTAAGAAACTAGAAGGTCCATCTGGTGATAAATCTTTTCTTTTATTAGAGTGTTGGCACTTGAAATTAGGGCCAGTTAGGCACTGTACCAACCAGTGCGTCTCCAGCACTATTTGTCTTTCCCAGAAAAAGTCTCAACTCTGTAGCCCAGAGACTGGACTCTTAACATCTGTGCTTCTTCTACCTCAGCCTCTACAGAGCTGAGATTACAAATACGGGCCACCAGAGTCACATCCAGGGGTATTCTTTTTTTTTTTTTAATATTTATTTATTTATTTACTATGTATGCAATATTCTGTCAGTGTGTATGCCTGCAGGCCAGAAGAGGGCACCAGACCCCATTACAGATGGTTGTGAGCCACCATGTGGTTGCTGGGAATTGAACTCAGGACCTTTGGAAGAGCAGGCAATGCTCTTAACCTCTGAGCCATCTCTCCAGCCCCTCCAGGGGTATTCTTGCTTTCTTTATTTATTTCCTTCCTTCCTTCCTTCCTTCCTTCCTTCCTTCCTCTATCCTTTTTTCTTTTAGCTTCCCTTTTTCTTTTTTTTATTGAGCTATATATTATTCTCTTCTCCCTTCCTCTCTCCTCCCCTTCTGCCCTCTCCCATGATTCCCACGCTCCCAATTTACTCAGATCTTTATTTTTTCAAGACAGTGTTTCTTTGTGTAGACCAGGCCAGCCTCGAACTCACAGAGATTTGCCTGCCTCTGCATCCTGAGTGCTGGGATTAAAGGTGTGTGTCACAGTGCATATCATATGCTTTGTTATCTTTGAGTCTGGGTTTGATTTGCAGCACCCATATGGTTACAACCATCTGTAACTGCAGTTCGAGAGAATCTGACACCCTCTTCTGACCTCTGCAGGTACCAGGCACACATGTACATTTGTTCAAGCAAAACATTCATACACTTAAAATAAACATGAACAAAAACAGGACTGAAGTTTTCTCAGTGGTTCTAAGCACTCTTAGTACTGGCTGTTTTTTAGAGGTCCCTAGTTCAATTTCCAGCACCCCCAAGGCAGCTTGTAACTTGTTTTCAGTTCTGGGAGATCTGATGCCTTCTCTGGCCTCCAAGGGCACTGCATGCAGGCAAATAGGCAAAGCACTCATGTATAAAAAGAAAATACATTTTTAAATCAAAAAGTCTTTTTAAATTTTAAAGTAATTTGATTTACATAAAATGAAAAGGTAGAACAAAAGTTTGAAGCCTCAATTTATTCGATTGAGGGTTTTTTTGTTTTTTTTGACGAGGTTTGACAATATCGTCTTGCTGGCTTAGAACTTGCTATGTAGACCATACTGGCTTTGAACTTAGAGGTTTCTGTGCCTCTGCAGAGCTGGCATTCAAAGTCACAATTCAGCCATTAACCTCCCAGTTTGTTTGTTTGTTTGTTTTTCAAGACAGGGTTTCTCTGTAGCTTTGGTGCCTGTCCTGGAGCTAGCTCTTGTAGACCAGGCTGGCCTCGAACTCAAAGAGATCCACTTGCCTCTGCCTCCTGAGTGCTGGGATTAAAGGCCTCCGCCACCACTGCCCGACCTAACCTCCCAATTTTAACCAGTTTATTTGCCAGTGTCTTATAGCTGCAGTTCCTGAGATCTGGCTCGCTCCTCCTCTTCCTGTCATTGTTCTCTCCAACCCCCTCATTAAAGTTAACTTTTCAGAGCTGCTATGTGAGCTGCATGCCTGAGCAAAGGAGCACAGAGAACCCTTGGAAGGAGGAAAGGGGCGCTGGCCTTCCCTCTGCCACCCATGCTTCTGTCCTGTACCTGCTTAAGCTGGCACTGCACCAGGTGCACCTGTACCCTCATCTTATTTCTTATTTTCAGAAGGCACTCAGGAGCTGACACATAGCTGCGGTCCCACCACTCAAGAGGCTGAGGCAGGAGGATTATAGCTATTTGAGTCTGATCTGGGTTAAATGGTGACCCCTACCTTCAAAATCTAAAACAAACAAACAAAAAAAGCAAGCATTAATAAGCTTTTGTTTTTCTCTGTTTCAAGTTCAAATTCTAGAGAAGTAATACATTTTACTTACTAACCTGAATTTGAGCTTTCCTTTCTATCTCAATGCCTGTGACTGTTGGCAGTTTTCCTGGAGTTACACTGAGCTCTGATGTAATAACTGAACGTCTGTGAACTCAGGTACCTCTGCATCAGCCATTGACTGTTGGGTTTTCTTGTTGCAGGATGTCCTCCTGATGCAGTCCAACAAAGAACCTGTATGTGCAGAGTTCCCTGGAGACCTGCTAAAGAAAAAAGGTATGATATTTCTTTTTGTTTGTTTGTGTTTTGAGACAAGGTCTTTTTTATGTAGTCCTGGTTGGCCTGGGACTCATAGATATCCACCTGCCTCTGCCTCCAGAATGCTTTGATTAAAGGCGTGTGCCACCACACCTGTGAAAATTTTTTTTTATACGATTCACTTACTATTTATGTGTGTGTTAGCTTAAGGAAGTGTATACCACTTATGTAGAACTGGATTCAGTTTGAGCAGCCACCTCCACTTTTCCTGCCACACTTTCCCTTCCCACTAAGGTGGAACTGGGCACCAAAATAAGCACTCATTCCTTCCTTCCTTCTTTAAGTTGTCTGTGCCAGGCATTTGTCACAGGAGCAAGACAAGGTTATTAATTCAGATCTTAAGATAATATACTATGTTTTTAGTAGTTAAAAGGCAGTATTGATAAATGATTATTAACCCTAGTCCATACTTTATTCAGATTACTGTACTGAATAACTTTTCTGTTTGAGGATCCCATTTGATCCTCATGTCATTTTTGGATTCTCCAGTTTGTGACAATGTTGGTGTTTGGGGGTGATTTTAAGAGTGCAGGTATATTGTAGACTGTGGGTGTAGAAGTGAAAGAGTCCATCAGTAATACCAACAGTCACCTTCCGGAGGTGCTGTGTTACTCGGTTATACTCTCAGTCCGGAGATTGAGGCAGGAGGATTATGAACTCAATTTTAACCTAAGTGAAAATATTTATATATATATATATATATATATATATATGTGTGTGTGTGTGTGTGTGTGTGTGTGTGTGTGTGTGTATATGTATATGTATATATATATGTATATATGTATATATATTGTTTTGTTTGTTTTGATTTTTTTGTTGTTGTTTTTCACTTTTCAAGACGGGTTTCTCAGTAGCTATGGAGCCTGTCCTGGAACTGTCTCTGTAAACCAGGCTGGCCTCAAACTCACAGAGATCCACCTGCTTCCCCCTTCCCAGTGCTGGGATTAAAGGCATGAGCCACTACTACGTGGAATTTTTTTGTTTTGTTTTGTTTGTTTTTTGAGAATACAAAGTGTGATTTTTATTACATCGTATCAAAGAGGACACATGCTGTCAACATGCATTAGTGTTTGTTGGTTTTGGATCACTGCACAGTTATTCTTCTTTTTCATGCTTTAAACTCTTTAAAAAAATAAAGATGGGGGGCTGGAGAGATGGCTCAGCAGTTAAGGCCCTATTCTGGCCTATAGGCAGGATACTGTATAAATAAATAAATCTTTAAAAAAAAAATAAAGATGGTTCAGTGGTTAGGAGAACTGGCTAATCTGCAGAGGACCCAGGTGTAGTTCCCAGAACCTACACAGTGGCTGATAACCATCTATAACTCCAGTTCTACATGATTCCATGCTTTCTTCTGGCATTCTTGGGCACAAAGATGTACATATATACATTTAGGCAAAACACATACACAAAATAAACAAACAAATAGGGCTGGAGAGATGGCTCAGTGGTTAAGAGCACTGACTGCTCTTTCAGAGGTCCTGAGTTCAATTCCCAGCAACCACATGGTGGCTCACAGCCATCTATAATGAGACCTGGCGCCCCCTTCTGGCTTGCGGGCGCACAAGGAAGGAATGCTGTACACATAATAAATAAACAAATATTTTAAAAAATAAAATAAACAAATAAATGTTAAAAAAATTGTCTTAAATTCTGCTTCAAAGTCTTGTGAAATGTCAAAATGTATGTGCATAAAAACAAATCACCTTAATGGGTCAGAGTATTGTTTTCTCTCTAGCTGTGCACAAACTGCTTTCCCCATGCACCTTTTGCCATTACTACTTGGAAGTCGGTGCTCCCCCGCCCCTTCCTAAGATTCTTGATAAAGTGGAGAATGGATGTGTTTCAGCAAATCTGAACTTCATTGCCTCACACAGAGGAAAACCGCATCAGGTTGGGGGTGGATGAAGAATTTCTCATTGTTCCTGGATAGATGTAATGAGGGTACAGCTACCTTGATGCTAAACATATGATTTAATGAATTACATAGCATTCCATAGAAAGATGAAATAAAATCATGAGGAGTGCTCAGGCTGAGACATTCATGAATAGATTATTGTTTGGGATGATATGAAATTGGATTATTTCACAATACTTAGTACTGCTTGGGAAATTGGAGGTAGCCATTGTTAGTAATTGATATTTATGCTAAACATCTGGTGCATTTTTATCCATCCATCCATTCTAGAGGTCTTGGGGTGTCGTTTAATGGCAGAGCTAATTGTCCGTGCAATTCTGGGTTCGATTGTTAGTACCCAGTTAACAAACTCATCACGCCTGCCACCTCTCTGCTAGGCGAGCCTTGTAACACCAAGTTTTCCCTGTAGCCCATACTCCTAATGTTTTTAAATGGTGTTCTACACTTAGATACCATTTTAACTGTCTCATGTCCTGTTAGATAAAGAATCAAAGAGAAAAGACAGGCAGTTCTCCTAATACTGCAAGTACTATACCAGGCAGTGTTTATGTGTGATAATTAATTTCCATACAGCACTGAGGTAAGTGTGTTTACCATGCTTTCTACAAAAGAAACTGAGGCTCAGAGAAGGACACACAAATGCTGGAGTTGAGGAGCTTCCTAGTTCTGGCTGGCCTTGAATTTGTGCTGGCCTCCGGCTCCCTCCTTCTGGCATCACAGGTGTGTCTGTCATTGTGTTCACATTCCGCACAAAAGGTGGGTTTTTGTTGTGTGTTCTCTTGCTTTCTTACTTTCATAATGGCAGTCTTCACACTAACTCAGAACTGAAAGGAATGAACTAAACTTCCATGTTCCTGTTACTCAGCTTCAGTAATGATCAGCCCAACCTTACAGAAAGGCAACTGGTTGTTTATTGTTTTGTTTTCTTCTTTTCTTTTTCGTTATTTGTTTTTCTAGACAGGGTTTCTCTGTAGCTGACTATCCTGGAACTCAAGAGATCCACCTGCCTCTGCCTCATGAGTGCTAGGATTAAAGGCATGTGCCACTACCGCCTGGTTCAGCAAGGCAATTATTATAAATCACTGGATTTAGGACCATTCAGCTTGCAGATTAACCATAAATAAAGTTCTACACATAACTGTTCTTTTTCTTTTTTCTTACTTGTTTTTGGCCATTCAGGGGATTGAACCTGTGATTTCACTAATGCTAGGCATGAGCTCTACCACTGAGCTGCAACCCCAGCTCTCACTGTTCCTTTTCAAAGAGCAATTTTATCTATAATATATCTAATTTCAGGTAATAAAATGATCATTGAATGAAAAGACTGCTGTACTGACAGTTCACTAGCGCTGTCTGGCTAGATAAGTGGTTTTATAATAGCTAGCTCCTTGGCTGCTCTACCGTGGAGCTCTAGTCGTAGCCCTCTGTTCAGCCTTGTTTCAGACAGGGTTTCTCTCTGGACCCTGGCTGTCCTAGGGAACTAGCTCTGTACACCAGGCTGGCCTCGAACTCACAGAGACCCACCTGCCTCTGCCTCCCAAGTGCTGGGATTAAAGGCGTGCGCTATAAAATTTTATTTTGTGTGCATGAATGTCTGTGTGAGGGCATTAGATCCCCTAGAACTGGAGTTACAGACAGTTGTGAGTTGTCATGTGAGTGCTGGGGATTGAACCTGGGTCCTCTGGAAGAGCAGACAATGTTCTTAACCACTGAGCCATCTCTCCAGCCCTCTTTTCAGTTTTTCGTTTGTTTTTGTGGTGCCTGGGCTGACGTGGAACACACTTTGTGGCTCTTGACATTCAGTGGTCTTGCTGTCCTGCCTCAGCCCCTGACTAGCTGGTGTTGCAAATTTGAAATACAAGGGCCTGCTAGTGGTGTTTTAAAATGGCAACTTTTTTTTTTAATAGTTTTTCAACACAGGGTCTGTTTAGCTCTTTATCAGAACTCACCCTGCAGACCAGGCTGGCCTTGAACTTGCAGATATCTGCCTGAAAATGGTGTCTGTAAGACTGAATGAATCAGGCTCACATTTTCTGTTACTCAGTTATATAGTATCATCTGTGATACCAAGTAACATGTTGAGAACAGTGTTTTTTATTTTTCCAAAATTGGCTGCTTTTGGGGGACTCATTTTCATAGTTTGCAAAGAAGCAAAACGCTGGTATGGCTTTCTGAGCTTTTTGATTATCTTTTCTGAGTTGAATTTTCTGTTGTTGCTGTTGATGCATGATGAAATTCACTTAGCTGGGACAGCTTTTTTATTTTTATTTTTCAAATTACATCTGATTTGAGTTTCTTTCTCTTCTGTAAAAGGAAATGTACACAGTACAACTGGACCTCTGCCAGAACCCATTGAAAACATACAAGGTATGAAAACCAGTGGGACTAAGGGATAATAATGAAGGACACAGTTGTGGCACTGTGAGTCAGCATCCGTCAGCTGGGTGCAGTGAGCACCAGGAGTGGATAAAATCATGACCCCCCCATTATGCTTTCGGAAACCAGAGCTTTAGTTACCCTAGAACCTTCAGTCTCGTGGACCCTGAATTAATAAAGCGTTCTTAAAGAAAACCATGTGGAACATTACTAATTGTCTTTTTTTTGGGGGGGGGGGGAGGTTCAAGACAGGGTTTCTCTGTGGCTTTGGAGCCTGTCCTGGAACTAGCTCTGTAGATCAGGCTTGTCTCGAACTCACAGAGATCCGCCTGCCTCTGCCTCTCGAGTGCTGGGATTAAAGGTGTGTGCCACCATCGCCCGGCCTAATTGTCTTTTTTGATTGTCATTACCAGGGATCTGTGCTGTTTCCACAATGAACAAAGGAAAGAAAGAGTTGTGTAACTTAAACCTTATTTGTGAAGCAGATGACAGTCACCAACGGATTCTTAACCACTGTCGGGAAAACCCTGGTTCTGCACAGGACAGTTCCACCACTGCAGGGAGTGAAGAGTCTATAAAACCCGCTGAAGAAAATTCTAAAATTTTATATCTTGCATCATATTCATCTGGCCCAAAATCCTTAGAAAAATGTGTTTTTGAAAGCAGTGCTTTAGTAAAGGAATCTGCTGAAAAACTAAAAGAGGTTGATCAAAGCAAGAACTTCTCTTGTGGAGAAGAAAGTAAAGAACAGAATCAGAGGCTCAGCAGTGAAAGAGGGGGTCTCCTTTTCAGTGTCACAGAACAGGAACAGAATGGTTCTGGTGAAAAACAGACCGTGGAATCCAGTAACCACAGCAACTATTGCACTCAGGCAAGTTCCTGCGCAGAGATCTGTAGTTCCATGCCTAACTCTTTTACCGAAGCCACAGAAATAATGTGTAAAAAGAGTGATCTGAAAATGACTTTAAACTTTCAAGGTAATTTGGTAAACTCTGAGGACCATAGAAAAACTGTCACTGATGTGAACCATCCTGAGAGACACTCTGAGGAAAGCGGGTTTCCCTTGTTGGTGCACGTTGAAGAACCAGAACAAAACCCAGTAAACGCCAGTGCACTACGTGAAAAGATTTACAGTAAAGACTCTAAGTCTGTAGTCAGCGCCCAGAGAAATCTGGGTGACTCTCTGCCAACTAAAGCAGCATGCAATGAATTTCTGTCTGGAAGAAAATCCCCTCAGAGTTTGATACCAGCAGATCCAGTAAGTTCTGAACATAAGGAGATATCAAAACCCAAGGAAAGTCCTGCAAAATTACCACCATGTCCAGAGTTTGTTTGCAGACCTGCTTCAGAAAAGCATGTACAGGACTTAGGTGACAACGTTGCCCATTTAGATGAACCAATCATTGCCTGTGAAATATGTGAACTTTCTTGTAACAGTGAACTGGTTGAATACAAACTAGAACATGAATGTGTTTTAAATCAACAAGTGCCCCTTAATTCTCAAGAGCATGTAATATTACCAACTGACTCTCTGATAAATCTAAACAAAGAGATGCCTTCAGCAACATGCAGAGATGCTCAACAGAGCTGTCATTCTCTCAAGAACGGAGCAAATCTTACCACCAATACTCAAACCATTCCTGCTGAGACAAAATTGGAAGTCACATCTGCACAAGGTGACAGAACCTGTGGGGCCTCTTCAGGCATCCACACCTTAAATCTCACAACAAGCCCAGACGGGCAAAAAGAAATGACTGATTCAGGTATCAAAGATCTACATTCCACTTTCCTCTCAAGTGTGAAAGAAACAGCTGGCTTTTCCTTTGTCACAGAATGTCAGAATGTTCAGTCTCAGGATATTTCCAGCTGTCAGTGCATAACAAGAAATGCATCTGAAGAGAACATGTGCTCTGCTTGTGCTGCTCTTGGACCCAGAAAAGATACCCTGAAAGCCAGCAACTGTAAAGTAAACTGTGGAAGTGCACGGCAGCCTAGCAGGCACTGCTTCCAAAGATCAGAAGACTTGGTGGAAAATAGCTCCTTCTTGGAGAGTGAACCTGCTGGGCGGAAGACTCAGAGCAGCCTTCTAGGAGGCAAGGTTACAAGTGAAATGGCAACAGGTGTGGCAGGTAGTAGAGTTTTGTTGAACACAACCACTCCCGCTACTGGCCATGTGGAACCCAGTGAGGAAGGCCTGGGTGGAAGGAAGCAGAGTAGACACAGATGCACTGCAGTTTACAGCCACAGCGCCTCTCCTTGTGATATACAGGAGCTGAGCCAATCTACAAACATTCCAAGTCCTGACACACTAGCGGACCAGTCTCTGAATGTTATTTCATCTCATTTGAAAGCCATGTACCAAGCAGCTCAAAGTCATGACCAGAAAGTAGGTGAAGTCTCTGACTGTCAGAGAAACCAAAATAGTCCAGACAAATGCAGAAGTGAAGGTAAGACAGCTCAGGAAGGACTAAGTGGTGACCCCCGAGGAACTGTCCCTGAGGTCAGCCACAAGGAAAAGGATTTGCTAGTCAGTTCAGGCAGTGAAAACCCTGTGCTTTGTGGTAGTTTAGAGAAAAGCAATTCCAAAGGAGCCTTTGAAAATATTCCTGGCTCGGAAGCACTGGTATACAGTGTGCTAGATGTGGTATGTCCCGACTGCACAGGTGAGCCTGCAGAGGCTGTGCTGGGCGCATCTAGTCCAGCTGGTCATTCTACAAGCCGAGATAGACTGGCATACCATGAGTCCTTAAGGAGTACCGCACCTCTTCGAGGAGAACTGAATGTTATGTTTATAGGAACAACTGACCAGGACTCGGGACTCTCCAGTGCTGCTGCTTCTACGGTAGACTGTCCTGAAATACTGAAATCACGTGAAGAAACAATATGCAGGTTTCTAAAAGACTATGGAATGGAAGAGTGTCCAGACTCTGCCACTAATCATGAAGTAGAATGTGTTACCAATCAAGAGCCAAATGTAAGAGCACTGGATAAAGGAGGTGTGTCTTTAAATTATATTCATTGTGAGAATCAAGGGGAAGGAAAATCTGTGACGGAAGGACTGAGAATAGAAGCAAATTCTGAGTTTGGTGAGAAGAAAACCTTTGGATTATCCTCAAAAGACTCCAGATCTTCTAGGTGCCGAGGTTCTGTTGAGATGGCACAGTCCCATCTTTCTTCTCAGGAACAGTCACCAGCTGGTGTTCTTGGTGAAAAGCCTAAATTGAAGCATCTCTTTAAGCCCAAAGATGGTGAACTCCTTCATGAAAATATCAAGAATTGCGCAGTCCAGTCTGACGTGAAGGAAGGAATACCAACGAATATAGGTAACGCTGGTGAAGGAGGTGGTACATATGTCAGTGTAGACACCAGTGTTTGCAAAGCTTGTCATTCGCATGAGAATTCCATATATAAGTGTTTGCCTTTGATAATGATAACAGCAATTAAACAGAATAAAGAAGAAACTGAAGAACATCAGAAGGGGCCACTGGGTCACTTACCTGTTGGGGAGGGGTCCGAGGAGACCATTACCGGAGACAGTCATGTTAATTTTCCTAAGAGTTATCAGACCCATTTGAAATGCCAGAGTGTGCAAGATGTTGTTAAAAGCCCACAAAGCCAGAGAGGTGAGCGTGCCGTGCCAAAGGACGAAAATCCATATCGAAAGGGTACTCGTGCACTGCTGGAGCAGCACGCGTCAGTGAACATGCTGTCAGATGAGATGCAAAGTAAGAAACCTGTGATTGGCCAGTGTGAGTCCCTCATAATGGAAGAAGTCGCCCTAAGAAAGCCAACCAAGAAAAAATCGGCTAGACAGCTTCAGAGGTTGGAAGACCCAGAAGAAGAAAGCTTATATCACCTGTTAAAGAAAGACACCTTATGCACAGGTCCTCGGCTTCCTAGTACCTCTTGGAAAAAACAGGATCCTAGTGCTGCTGGAGGTGGTCAGATACATGGTGCCTTTGTGACTCTGTCACAGCAGCAGAGATTGCTTCCCGTAAAGAAGCAACCTCATCGAACATGTAAGCGAACTTCCTGCCCAGAGCTAGTCACTGTGCAGAGAAAAATAACTAAAGTAAGAAATTCTGATTGTGGAAAGAGTTCCTCTGATCCCATCCCCACAAAAACACACAGACTTCTCAGCCCGTGTGCCGTGCCTGCCGCGCCATTGGAACCTGAAGCAGTACCTAGCACGAGCTTGTGTAGCCGCATACCAAAGCCAAAGGCTACTCTGTGCCATTCCTTGAGTCCGAGTTGTAGGAAGCCTACCAAAGAATCAGCCTTACTAAACAAGCTGTCTGTCCTTGCCTCCAAACTGGTTCTGGCTACAAAGCCCCAGAAACTCAGATATCAGCGGTATTCCTCTTCCCTTGTTCCTTTGGCTAAAAGCTGCAAGCGTCTCAGATATAAAAAGCTCCTAGATGGATTTTCCTATAATGCAATGCAGCTGGACCCATGTTTGGCAGCTACTGGATGGGATAGGAGGTCTAACAGTAAGCCCTTGGCACTTTATTCTCTTGAAGCTGTCAAAATGAGCTTCATAGATCTGAGCAACAAGATGCCATCACTGCTGTTTGGTACCAAAATCTTCCCATTTTCCTTCCATGTGAAATCAGCATCCAATTGCATGGTTGAGCCCTCCAGGACTTTTCCTGAGCACTGTGCTCCATCGAGGCTTGCCTTAGCAGAGACCTCCCAGTGCTCATCTCCACCTCCCAAGTGGACCTTTTCTTTCTTCATGTCCCACGGTTGCCCTGGGATGGCTACATTCAGGGAAGATACTGGCCTCTGTAGTCAGACACACACTCAGGCTCCTCCACAGACTGCAGCTCCTCTCCAAGACTATGGAGGCACTGCCGTAGTCCGGACTGGAGCAGACTGCTCTGTCCTTGGCCTTCACACACTTCTAGCACTTTGTTCACCAGGATGTTACCGAATCTGGACAAAAAGACGGAGCTTCACCAATCACATGCCTACCATGCAGAGGCTCTTCTTGACCCAGTTTACACAGGGCTTAAAAGGGTTAAGGTCTCCAGCCTCTCTAGCAGACAAGGTCTTCTGCTCTCTACCCTACTCATTGGGCCGAGTGTTGTCCATTTGGAGCCAGCATGGACCTTCCTTTACCTTCCAATTGCCTGCTCTTCATTCCACTCAGAGCAAGCAGCAGGGGAGCCTGAGCATCTTGAGCAGGTAAGAGCTCGTCATCTCTTCTTTCAGTGTATTTCGTGTTTGTCTCCTGCCGATGGGAAAAGGAGAGGCGGCAGGTGCTGAAAATGCAGGGCTGTCTGCCGGGGGCTTCCTATATTTACACTTGTTTACCCTGAGAGAGTGGAACAGTAATTCTTGGCTACAGAGGCCCCTGATTTGCCCATCGCATCGTCTCGTGTCTTGCACTATTCTTCCAGTTTTACTCCTTATGCCATAATCTTTTTATCCCCCTTGCGACAGTGTCTCTGTGTAACTCTGCTGTTGTGGAACTCACTATATAGACCAGTCTGGTCTGCCCCTGCCTCTCAAGTGCTGGGATTAAATTTATGTACCACAGTGCCCAGTGTATGCTACCATCTTCCATTGTTGTTTATTTGTGGCACTATCTCAGGCTGGCCTGGAACTCAAGAACATCTTGGATTGCAAGTATGAGCTGTCATGCTTCAGGGGTTCACATAACATGCCCTGGGATGCTTTGGGGACTTAGTAGAATTCATAGTGAAGTGGACAGAAGTTCTTATGCTTTCACTGTTGGAGATAAGGAGAATAATTTGATGATTATTATTGTATCTTCTAAATGAAAATAGGAGAGGACTAGACTTGGGTGTAGCTTAGTGGTAGAATTTTTTTTTTTTTTTTTGGTTAGTATAAGACCCTAGGTTCAGCCCAGCTTAGAGGGAAAAGGGGGTAGGAACTTAAGGTTTAAAATTTCCTGTTTTACTAGAGTTTCTAGAAGGTGAAAGTATAGCTTATGTGAAGAACATGCTTAGCATGAGTTAAGTTGCTGGTTCAATCCCCTACATGAAAACAGCCTTCAAAGAATTGCCTTAGATAAATTTTTCTACTGAAATTCTTTAGATGAATAGAAACTAATTATCTCTTGCTGTTGCTACAGTTGAATTTTTTTATTTGTTTATCCATTTACTTTTGGTTTTTCTAGACAGGGTTTCTCTGTATAGCCCAGGCTGTCCTGGAATTCACTCTGTAGGACAGGCTGACCTCGAACTCACAGAGATCCGCCTGTGTCTGCCTCCCAAATGCTGGGATTAAAGGTATGTGCTACCACTGCCCAGCTACATTAGAAATTTTTAGCAGTAATGTTTCAGATCAAATCAAACCCATCCAAAACCTGGTATTTCAAAGCCAAGCTGCTGAGGCAAGAAGATTATAAGACCAGTTCAAGACCAGTTTGGCCTAAGGAGTGAGCTGTTGTCTCAAAAACACATTAAAGGGACAGTTACAAGGATTCCAATTTGGTTTCTCTCAACTCCAGTCCTGTAACTCCAGTTATCAAGGATATAACTAACATCTTTGTCTGGCTTCTGTGGGCACTGCATACATTTGATTCACATACATAGATGTAGGCAAACACCCATATATGTAAATCAATCTTTTTCTTTTCTTCTCCCTCCCCCTCCCTCTCTCTCTTCCACTCTCACTCTCTGTCTCTCCTTCCTTCCTTCCTTCCTTCCTTTTTGTTTTTCAAGGCAGGTTTTCTATAGCACTGGCTGTCTTGAAACTCATTCTTTATAGACCAGGCTGGCCTTAAACTCACAGAGATCCGCCTGCCTCTGCCTCTCAAGTTTTGGGACTAAAGGTGTGCACCACTAAAACTAGTTTGTAAAATTATTAAATTCATAAATAGATAGATAGACAGACAGATGAACGGACAGACGGATGGGATGCCTCCTGGCAAGATGGTCCAGTGAGTAAACCACCAAGTCTGACAACCTGAGTTTCATTCCTGGAACCCCATAGTAAAGGAGAAAAATGAGATGTTGTCTTTTGGCCTTCACACACATGCCATGATATACACACAATGAGCTCACAAATACATAGAAAATAAACATTCTAAAAAATTTAAATAATATTGGGCTGTGGTGCATACCTTTAATCCCAGCACTTGGGAGGCAGAGATACGCAGATCTTTATGAATTTGAGGCCAGCCAGGTCTACAAATGAGTTTCAGGACAGCCAGGGCTACACAATGGGAACCAAAAACCAAAGTAAATAAATTAAAAAAGTATCAGATTGTTTCAATTGGTGGCATACTGCTTGTATTGTTTAATATTTTGGTCTGCCGCTAGTATGTAAGTTGTCATTAATTGCTCTGTGGAACACAGCTTTTTTTTTTTTTTTTTTTTTGAGACAGGGTTTCTCTGTAGCTTTGGTGCCCGTCTGGGAACTAGCTCTTGTAGACCAGGCTGGCCTTAAACTCTCAGAGATCCGCCTGCCTCTGCCTCCCGAGTGCTGGGATTAAAGGTGTGTACCACCACCGCCCGGCTGTGGAACACAGCTTTAATCTGTGTTGTATCCCCTCCATCCCCACTCTTTCTCTTTCTTTCTGGTAGCTAATGATGACCTCCACCTCACTACAGTAGCCCCAACTCTGGATCCTCCATCTCCCAAGTGCTAGGACACAGCCCTGACCCCTTCACTGTTAGTTCCTTACATACTGTGTTGGTTTTCAGGATATGAGCCTTGGCTCCTTTTCCCTTCAAGAACTCTTTCTACTTCCTAAAATAGTTTTCCTTCTCGCTTTTTTTTTTTTTTTTTTTTTTTTTTTTTTTTTTGGTTTTTCGAGACAGGGTTTCTCTGTGGTTTTGGAGCCTGTCCTGGAACTAGCTCTTGTAGACCAGGCTGGTCTCGAACTCACAGAGATCCGCCTGCCTCTGCCTCCCAAGTGCTAGGATTAAAGGCGTGCGCCACCACCACCCAGCTACCTTCTCGCTTTCTATATGTGGCCTTTTTATTTTGTGGAGTTTTATACATATGTAACCAAGAACTTGGGATGTTGTTTTATTTCAAGTGGAAGGTATATGGGTAGTGTTGCTATGGACTCTACTCATTGACTCCAAAAGTGACTTAAAATCATATGCCTAAGCTCACTTAATATTGTTTTGTTTTTTGAGAGAGGATTTCTCTGTGTAGCTTTGGAGCCTGTTCTGGAACTCACCCTGTAGACCAGGCTGTCCTCGAACTCACAGATATTCTCCTGTCTCTGTCTCTCAAGTGCTGGGATTAAAGGCAGCCACGACTACCCAGTTTTGTCTTGTTTTGTTTTTATTATTTTATTAAACTTATTTATGAGGCAGAGGCAGGTGGATCTCTGTGAGTTCGAGGCCAGCCTGGTCTACAAGAGCTGTGCCAGGACAGGCTCCAAAGCTACAGAGAAACCCTGTCTCGGAAAAACTAAAAAAAACAAAAACAAAACAAAAAAAACTTATTTATGAGCTGCACGTGGTGGCACATGCTTTTAATCCCAGCACTGGGGAGGCAAAAGCAGTCAGATCAGTGAGTTCAAGGCCAGCAGCCTGGTCTACAGAGTGAGTTCCAGGACAGCCAAGGCTACACAAAGACACCTGTCTCAAAAAAACAAAACAGAACAAAACAAACAGAGGTGATAGATGGACCACTTTTCCTTCCTGAAAAAGCAAAGCAACAAAACATTTCATGTATTGCCGGCAAAATAAATTAATAGCCCTGAAAACAATACTTAAATCAGTTTAATTTCCATAAAGTATTTTCCCTACCACTGTATGTGTATATGTATGTGTGTGTGTGTGAAAGAGAGAGAAAGAGGAAGAAAGAGAGGAGAGAGAGAGAGAGTCACTCAGAGGACAGTTTTGGTGTTGGTTTCGCTTTCTGCCTTTGTGTGTGTTCCAGAAATCAGCTTAGGCAGTCTCCTTGCATTGTCAGGCAGTAGGCACTTTTACCTGCTAAGCCATCTTGTCTGCCCCATTTTTCTATTTTGTTGTGACAGAGTCACCTGTTTAGACTGGCTTCAAACTCAGCATCTTATAAGGCATAACTTATAGTATTTTTCCTTGTATAGATACTTTGTTGTTGTATTTGGTTTCATGTCTAATTTTTAGAAACATTTGTTGTATGTGTGCGTGTATGTATGTACATGTGCCATAATGTAATGTGGAGGTTAGCAAAGTTTTAGGGAGTCCATTCTTTTCTTCCACTCTGTGAGTTCCAGACTTTGAACTCAGGTGGTCAGGCTTGGCAGCAAGCCCTTCTACATATGGAACCAACTTATGATTCCTTATGCTTGAAATTGTAAAGAATATTAACATGTGTACTTACCAACTTAATTAAAAGGTTTAAGTCCCAAAGTCATTCTTGCTCCTGTCCTTTCTTTTCCGGTCCTCTACTTTTCTTGATACTCTCTCCAGTTCAATTAGGAAGCACTTTCCTGTTAGCCTTGTCCTACCCAAGGCTGAGCACATAAGCATGGCTCTTGTGTTTCTTGGCTGCACCGTGTTCCAGAGCCTCAGGGAGCATCAGAGCCTTTGTTGTTGCCCCACTCGCATAACCTGCTGCTTTGTGCTTGTGCTTTTACTTCAGCCACAACACCATACCAAATGTGCCTCTCCCGGGCATGGGAGCTGTCCACAGCACCAACAGCAGTCACCTGAGGTAAGCCTTGGCACACCAGCTTCAAGTGTGGATGGGTATGTGAGAAAGGGCAGGGAGAATACATTTATTCTAGTGTTCTTAGATTGCATGAGTCAGGCATGTCATAACTCTTAACCTCTTGTCTCCTTAATCTTAGTATTTATAGGTCTCAGATTAAACATTTCTGAGATTCATTTGGTTTTATATCACATAACAAGGAATAGGGTTGTATCATTAGCACCACTTATTTAGCACAGGATTCAGTAGCCAGTTTACTAGGATCTCAAGCTGTTCCAAGTCCTGTTGCTTCACCAGCCTCAGTCCTGGTCCCTGAACGGGGCTGGTCTCATCTGAGCAGTGTTCATTTGTCTGTTCACTGACTCTCTCCTCTCCAGTCTCCACTCACTAAGGTACACATTTCTTTAAAACTGCTCTAATCCCTGGAAAGGACTGACCACGTTCTTAGAATTTTGCACATGTGTAGAGCTAGGTTGTGTCTAGAGGTAACTAGAAAGCAGGTGGCTCAGAAATAATGTAGGCTGGGTGATAGACTTCTTAGTCGGTTAGTTGCCTGCCTTGCTAGCGTGAGAACCTGAGTTTCATCCCCCAGAACCCACATCAGTAGCCTGCATGGTGGCACACACTTGTAATTCTAGTGTAGGCAGGAAGAGACAGGCAGATCCTGAGGCTCACTGGCCAGCCAGCTTTAGGCCATTGAGAGACTCCATCTCAAACACAAGATGGATGGGACGGCCAAGGAAAGACATTGTCTTAAAGTTTTTTCCTGGCCTCCACACACACAAGGACATGAACATGTACAGAAAAACTAAGTAGAAATGCTGGAGGTAGAAAGCACACCTTACACAGATTTTATCGTCATTCTGTCTCCATGGTGCTAGGCTGGAGCCTGTGTTCCCTGCCTTGGTGCCAAAGGCTTGCCTGGTGACAGAACCAGCTGTCAGCAAGCTCCTGCTCTCAGCCTCTGAGTTCCAGGTCCCTGGGTTTGATGAGCTGGGTGATGTGTCAGCGGCATGCCCCAGACCACAGAGCAGCCCTGCAGAAGAGAAAGAGGTAAGTGCAAGTGCCAGGGTCTTGGTGGCTTTGGGATTTCCATTGTTGACTCCCATCACAGGGTTCGTGTAGGCTTGACTCTGGCCTTGGCTCAGTAGCTGGGAGTTCTAAGGTAGGAATTTTCCTGCTTGGCCAGGAAAGGAGACGGTGGGTTTATGGGGTTGTTACCTTTATTTCAGTTTCTTTTCCGAGATGGGGGGGGGGGGTCTTACTGTTTTCTCCTCACTGCCTTTCAACTTCTGAATTCAAGTTGTCCTCCTGTTCCACCAGGCGGGAGCAGGTTAGCTTAGTCTGTATTTTTTTCCAGACCCATTTTTCTCAGCAACAGCATTAAAGAGTGTTTATAGAGAGCCCTGGCCCTAAGAGTCACCTTGTGCATTGAAGATGAGTAAATGATACTGTCCTGTAGTTCACAGCATCGCCTGTCTCCACTGATTGAGGACTTTGATTATCTCATTCGGAACCGTTCAACTCTCTGTTTAGTAACTGAAAACGCCGCCAGAGGAGGAAGGGGAAATTTGTCATTAGCTACTTTTCAGGCTTATCTGTAAAGTGAGGAAGCGATGTTTTGAGTATACAGGCTTTATTTTAAAATAACTTAACATTTTGCCTATTTTTATTTTAACCCTTAAAACAGGCTGAGCCAGAGAAGAGACCAAAGAAAGTCTCACAGATTCGCATCCGGAAAACCATTCCTAAACCAGATCCCAACCTTACCCCAATGGGCCTGCCTCGGCCCAAAAGGTGAGCTTCTCTAATGCAAAGTGGGTTCATTATCTTGGAAAATTGCCAAGCAAAGTATATTTGTCCTTAAAGTGATTATGTAATCCGAGCTATGTTTTTACTTCTAGGAATTTATGCCAAAGAATTCCATGATTAATATGGTTAAATGTTTAAATGCAAGATATTTTAATACAGTGATCATTTTTATTGTTCTTATGCTAGGTATTGTATGTACATAATCATAGCTTAACCATTGAGAGACCAAGGCAGGAGGAATAACTTTGAGCTACAGCCAACCTGAGCTACAGTGTAAGGCCCTCTCTCAAAATAAACAAAAGAAAGGTGCTGGAGTTCCATGATGAAACTCTGTCTAAAAAGAAGACAACAACAAACCCACATACAAACCAGAAAAAGCAATCTATTTTTAAAAATTTTTTTACGCTTATTGATTTTATTGGTATGTGTGTTACCTTGCATGTATGTATGTGAACCACGTGTGTGCCTGGAGCCCTTAAAGGTCAGAACTGGAATTATGTATAGTTTATGGGCTATCGTACTCGTATGGCTGTTGGGAACCAACCCAGGTCCTGTGTAAGACAAGTGTTTTTAACCTGAGCTATATCTCTAGTTCCCCAATATACTTTTTTGTTTTATTTTGTTCTCTGTGTAACAGCTTGGCTGTCCTGGAACTTGCTTTGTAGACCAGGCTGGTCTCAAACTCACAGGGATCAGCCTGCCTCTGCCTCCTGAGTACTAGAATTAAAGGTGTGCCCTACCACACCCAGTCCCTGAATATACTTTATATTGGGTATTTTAAGTTGGGCATTGTGGTGCCCTCCTGTGATCCCAACAGTTGGGAGATGGTAAAGGAGGAAAAAGAGTTCAAGATCATCTTCAAAGTTCTCCAAACCTCAGTTCTTATGCCCCAAGTTCCAGGGAAGTTTTCATTGGTTCCCTTAAGTAACTTAAATTAATTAGTCTTAGGAGCTTCTGCTAGTCTTATCTGTTGACCAAGGACATACCCCAGTGGGAATAGTGCTTGCTAAAGTCTCAGGACCTGCCTGACTGGTCTCCCTATGCAGCCCAGGTTGGCCTTGAACCCATAATTCTTCTGTCTTAGCCTCCAAATGCTGATATTACAGATATATGTAATATCTTATACTTCTTTTTTTGGGGGGGGGGTGTTGGGGCTTGAGGCTTGGTTTCTCTGTGTAATAGCCCTGGCTGTCCTGGAACTTGCTCCGTAGAGCAGGCTGACCTCAAACTCACAGCTTTCTGATTGCTGGGATTAAAGTCATGCGCCACCACCGCCCGGCACTATCACCTTCTTTATTGACTACCCTCTTGTGCCGCCTTGAGAAGCGCTCGGTGTCTCAGGTGCCCCACATTAAGTGGTGTTCACTATCAGAATGGTTTAACTTCTTTTACTGTTTGCCTGATCTGAAAGCCTTGTTGATAGAGATAAGTAATTGGGAACAAAAAGGCTTTAATGATACAATAGCCTGTCTTCGTTGTTGTTGTTGTTGTTGTTATTTTGTATTTGTATATAGAGTAATGTGTCTTATCATGGCATGGTTATTTGTTTCTTTATACTTCATTAGCTTTCATTCCCCTCCTGTACCCCCTCTTGTACCCAGCTGGCTCCCTGCTCCCCCAGGAAGCCCTTCTTCTGTCTTCATATTTCATTACCCACAGTTCCTCACATTCCTCACAGTCTCATCCTCTCTCAGCATCTCCTTTTTTAGTTTTATGGCCCTCATTTGTAATGTGAAGTGTGTGTTCTGCATTCAAGGGAAAGTCTGGTATTTGTCTTTGTCGTTCCGGCTTATTTTGCGTAATGAATTCCAGTTACGTATGTTTTTTCTTTAGTCAGCTTTTTTCCTTTAGATTGCCAGCTCATAAAAAAACAACATAAAACTTAATATTAATTATAAAAGCTTGGCCTGTAGCTTAGGTTTGTTTCTAACTAGTTTGTTGTTGTTGTTGTTTGGTTAGTTTTTTAGAGACATGGTTTCTCTGTAATTTTGAAGCTTGCTGCTGGCCTCGAACTCACAGAGATTAGCCTGCCTCTGCCTCTCTGGAGTACTGGGATTAAAGGCGTGTGCCACCACCGCCTGGCCCTAACTAGTTTTTAAAACTTAAATTAACCATATTTTTTAATCTACGTTCTTTTACATGGTTTGGTTACCTTTACTCTGTACTGCTCATCCTGCATCCTCTGCTTCTGGCTTGTGACCCTGCCTTTCTTCCTCTCCAAGTCTTCTCCGTCCCCAGAAGTCCCATCTAACCTCTTCCTGCCTAGTTAATGGCCGTTCAGCTTTTTATTAAACCAGTCACAGTAACACATCTTCACAGTGTAAAGGAATATTCTGCAACATTTTCTTAAATAAATGCATAATTTTATTTTTCTTTGCAAACAAAATTCCTTTTTGTTTGTGTATACAGCACATTTTCTTCATTATGTTAATGGACGTATAAGCTGGTTATTGCTTAGCTGTTCTAAATAATGCACCAGTGAACATGAATGCACAGATGTTTCTGGTGTCGCTTAGACACATGCAGGTATATATCCTAACTGATGAGCCATCTCTCTAGCCCCTGTTGTGTTTATCTTAATTCCTCACATTCTCACTTTTTGCTTCCCCATGTCTCTGTCACCTGTGGGTAATTTTTTTTTCAGTTGTTTTTTTCTGTAGCAAGCAATGAAACCAGGTTCTGTCAACTGCGTGTATGACAGCATATTTTGTATTGGCATAAAGTGTTTTCTTATGTGGATGCCCCAGGAGATGTGATCTTAGTGTTCTCTCCCTGCTTGGCCGCCACTCACACTTTTTACCCAAATAAATAATGCCACTCACTCACCCCCTGTCTACCATCATCACACTTCTTATTTGGGTCTTTGAGAAAGCCTTTTTTTCTCCCATGCCATTTCTTTGGAAGATTGTGGACTCCAGGCGATTCTTCTGATATCTGAGTCCTTTTATAGTTTGAATTTTGTAGTTCCAGCTGTCTGACTCAGTGTCCCCTGCCAAATTGAGCAAGGACACCGGCAACCACTAACACTACTCAGGAGACATATAGGCAATTACCAGGGTACCCAAACCTATTAGGCATGTCCAGCCTAGCATCTTTGGACGTTCTGGGAGTAAGTGGGCCAGGTTGGTCCTGTGAACATTCAAGAAAGTTATTGATCTCTATATGGTGGGGATCCCTTTTCTACAAATCTCCTGTCCTTGCCAGTCTAGAAGGAGCAGCTATTTAGCTGATAGGAGCCAGGTAGAATCCAGTGGCTCTTGAGTGTTAGGCAGGAGTATCATGGTGGTGTCAGGAATGGCTTTGAGTTCTTTGCTTATCAGCAGACAATCCAAATGTCCTCATCTCCTTCTGTCCAGTGTGGAGTGGCTGTTGCCTTTTGGAGCCTATGAGAAGTGGATAACTGCCTAGACAGGTAGACTGTGACACCCTTTGTTATGTCTTCTTGAGGAATTGCTCCTTTTATAAATTTGTAGTATTCTTGATCTCTTCTGATTCATTTTGGTTTTCGACCCACGTTATCAGACATCAAATTAACTATATCAACTTGTTTGTTTTTACTTGTTTGATACATTGTATTTCCGCTTTTTTGTTGTGTTTTATTTTGTTTTGTTTTTCAAGACAGTATTTCTCTGTGAGGCCTAGCTATCCTTGAACTCACTCTGTAGACCAGGTTGACCTTGAACACACAGAGATTCGCCTGCCTCTGCCTCTCAAATTCTGGGATTAAAGGTGTGCCTTACCACAGCTGAGCCTATTTCTGCCCTTAAAATTTTATTTTATTGGGGCTGGAGAGATGACTCAGTGTTTAAGAGCACTGACTGCTCTTCCAGAGGACCCGGGTTCAATTCCTAGCACCCACATGGCAGCTCACAACTGTCTGAAGATCAGTTCCAGGGGATCTGACACTTCACACCAATGCACATAAAATAAAGTTAAATAAACCATAAAAATATTTTTTAAAAAAATTTATTTTATTTTGTTTTATTTGTATGGATGTTTTGTCTTAAGTGTGTTTGTGCACTGTACGTATGCTTGTTGCCCATGGCCATGGAGGCCAGAAGAGGATGTAGGATCTCCTAGGACTAGAGTTATGGACAGTTGTGAAACACCATGTTGATGCTAGGAATCAAACCTAGGTCCTCTGAGCCAGCAGCCATTGCTCTTATCCACTGAGCAATTTCTCCAGCCCCTTGGCTTTGTATTTTTTTGCTTTTTTTTTTTTTTTTTTTTTTTTTTTTTGGTTTTTCGAGACAGGGTTTCCCTGTGGCTTTGGAGCCTGTCCTGGAACTAGCTCTGTAGACCAGGCTGGTCTCGAACTCACAGAGATCCGCCTGCCTCTGCCTCCCAAGTGCTGGGATTAAAGGCGTGCGCCACCATCGCCCGGCGCGTGCGCCACCATCGCCCGGCGGCTTTGTATTTTTGACACCTTGACTGTGATGTATTAATATGATAATATGTTGCAGAGAGGTTCTCTGGTTGTGCTTATTTGGGGTTCTAAATGCCTCTTGCGAATCTCTCTTTAAATTAGGAAAAATGATGCTATATTTTAATGAGCCTCTGTGTACTTATGTTGTTAACAGTAGACTCACAAACTTTCAAAATCCTTTTGCTCCTCTTTCACAATGTTCCCAAGCCTTAGATGTAAGAGTTCTGTTTTAGATGTATCTATTGGGCTTTGGTACTCCATGGTTAGTTGTTTTATGCATTTAAATCAGATACGTTTTTCTGTAATGGTCTGTCTGTTGCAAAAAGAAGTTTCTTTGGTGACTAAGAGCTACACTTACCTATGGGTATAAGAGTATTTATGGTGCAGTTAAGAACTATGCTGCTTGGGGCTGGAGAGGTGGCTCAGCGGTTAAGAGCACTGACTGCTCTTCCCGAGGACCCGGGTTCAATTCCCAGCACCCACATGGCAGCTCACAACTGTCTGAAGATCCAGTTCCAGGGGATCTGACACCTTCACACCAATGCACATAAAATAAAGT